GTTGACTCATATCTGCATGTGCAGAAATGTTCATGTCTCTTATCTCAAAGGAAGTCCATAGTGTTGAGAACTGTAAACTTGTCTGTTTAAATGACCTGGGAAAGGATTACTATACTTTCTCTCCAGTGATCAGAAGACCTAGAGACTCCCCATGGACAAGATGTTTACACTGTGACCAAAGTTTGAGTAGGAACTGGGTGGTGGTAAGGGAGGCCCAGGCGGAGAGAGGGCTCCAGGCTGATGAGAAAGAGCTGGAAGCTGCAGAAGGGAGGACGTGGCTGAAGTCTCCACTGTGCATCAGGTGAAGGGGAGGTGGCAAGAGAGAGGTGGGCAGGTAAGCAGGGCCAGATCATAAAGACTTCCATTTAATTCCATCATGCAGAGGAGCTATACATAGTACAAAGCCTTCTGCTTCTCCAAAAAAGTAGACACAATGTGCAGGAAAATCACTGTGAGAAAGATGTGGGGCCCACTGGAGAACATCTGCACCTGTATCTTAAAGAAGTTGAATGGCAGTGATGGGAACAGGGGTGGCAGGGCCAGAATTCCTCTTAGGTACTATCTGGGGCTCCCATAGCTGCTCTCATCACAGCACCTCTCTCACAGCTTTGCAGTTTTATCTCCTTGTCTCTGCCCCCACTGAACTATATGCCCAGCAGGACCATCTTCATATTTGACTGCCAGACCTATAATTTTTTTTTTTTTTTTTTTTTTTTTGCAAAATGACTTTTGGTTTCTAAACAAGCTTTCAAGGAGAAAAAGGATGATGAGTAAAGCATAACACAAGAAATGTAAATTATTTTATCTCTTTGTAAGTTTTATATATCAGTTCCTGCCTGCGGACTCTACAAAATTTCCATGCCATCCTCTGTGACAGAATCCCCACAATCTGCCTGGGCCTCGCTGTGGCTCTCTCTGGCTCCTCCCAGGTACTATTAGGCCTCAATTGCTGTGGTCACAACTGGGACTTTCTTCTGCTCTGTACTCTTGTGTATTTTAACACAAGCTCAGACCACTCAACCAGGGTGCACCCTCATACAAGCTTCTTTCCTCAAGCTGCCCTGTGTGTGATAGGACCACTGTCATCAACTTGTTTCTCTCAACTGGTCCTAGCATCTTTCCAGCCCCCCCATAGTGGGCCTTACTCAAAAGGACTACACAGCTGGCAGAGTCTGCATAGAATTCTCCTATTGGATGCTATGTGAAGATGGTTCATAATTGTGAGTTGTGAGACAGGGCAGCACTACCACTACCAAAGTGACTTATAGTGATGTATACCCATGCCAGGGCCACAAGGCATTTTAACCTAGGCCTAGTTTCAGACACACAGGCACCAAGAACCTCCGAGCTAGCCTCTGCCAATCCAAGTGCCCAGTCTCAGACAAAGAACAAAATCTAAGTTGACCTTGTCTAGCACGTACAGGGAGAATTTTGTGTATGAGTGGGTAGAAGACCAGGTCCTGTCTTCCCATCACCTCTTAAGTTGGTCCCCACTCTGCTGCTGCTGCAGAAATTCCAGAGGTTATATCAGTCCTTTTTCCCCAAAATGGCCAGAAGTCTGTTGGCCTGGCTAGCAGGAAACATGCATTTTGTGGAGATAATTTAATTTATGCCTAAATACTAAGTCAATAGCAACATATGGGCAGACATTTTTACTTAAACAAGCAATAACAATGTAACCTCTACATAAAAACAGAGTGAGCCCTGGAAGGAGCAGCTCCGTTGTGTAGCTATTCACTGTCTAAGACAGGCATGTTCGTATTCTCTTTTTGAGACGAAGTCTTGTTGTGTTGCCCAGGCTGGAGTGCAGTGGCATGATCTCGGCTTACTACAACCTCCACGTCCTGGGGTTCAAGAATTATTCTTCCTCAGCCTCCAAAGTAGCTGGGATTACAGGTGCCTGCCACCAACCCTGGCTAATTTTTTTTGTTTTTGTATTATTAGTAGAGACTCTACCTACATATGTGGGGAAACTTTATCTATCAGGGACTAGGAGCCACTCATGGAAAGCAAAGACTTTGGACACAGCAAACAGACTACATTCAGTCTATAACCCAGGCTGGTCTGGTTAGCACATGGTAAGTTTGGTAATGAATTGTAAAGAAAGCTCTCACAGCTGAACATCAAACAAGCACAGATCAATTCACCATGGGCCATATGGCTTCAGGATTCCCCAACATGGGGAACCAGCATTTCAGTGTTCAAATAAGGCACAAAATGTGCTCATGTAGGCTGGCCTGGTCATTGGGAAGCCATGTAGCTTTTTTAAGAAAGCCTTGTAACTTGAGACTCAAGGTCCAGAAAGTCTGGACCTGTCCTCCACTGATGACAATTCAGTTAAAAAGATACATAATTAAAGAGCAAAATATTTGAGAGTCCTTCCCCTCGCTCTCAGAGACTTTCACTTTCACTCCAGCTCACCAGATTTTAGGGAAACTGGAAGCATAGCTCATCAAAAAAAAACTAGGGCCCCCCTCCTGGGCCACATTCTGGGTCAGTGTCTTGCTGTTTCACCAAGTGCCCATTCTAGTGTCTTTCCTAAGCTATGGCCTGGCTCCCTGAGGACAGATCTCAATAAAAGCTCCCAAAAAATTGAGCTAGAGAGTGAATCTTGGGTTAATATTTGGGTTCTATTCCCAAGTGACCTTATAATCCACCCTTTTGGTTATCATCTACTCCAAAAGTTCTCAGTTCGAGAAGATAACACCCTCATCCCCATCCCCAAGGAACACTTGGCTATGCCAAGTGTTTTATTTGTCACAACTGGTAGTGGTAGGGGGGTGTTACCACCATGTAGTGGGTAGAGGCCAAGGATTCTGCTAAACATCCTACAATGAGCAGGACAGACCCCACAACAAAAAACTATCCAACCCAAAACACTAATGGTATCTAGGTTGAGAAAACGTTAAAAACACGGATTGTCAACTTCCCTGACATAACTCCCAGTTGGAAAGAGCCCAATAGAGGTAAGTGTCTCTCATATATTGGTAAGCCAGTTCCTGCAGTTACACCTGGACACAGGAAGCTGAAGAGGGGACTGGAAGTCCTGTGATTGAGTCAAGTAATCTCCTCCAACAGAGGACTTGGCTTATGATCCAAATTCTAGTTTACATGACACTTACAAATGCATTCTACTGTAGTCCCATCCTTCAGGATGACAAACTTGTAGGCAGCATGGATAATGACAAGCATTCTTCTGTATTTCATTATGTCCTTATTATTATTTTTTCATTAAGTAATACTCAATAACATCATCAGCTTGTAGTTAAACATTCATTCAGCCAACAGATATTTATTGTGTGCCCAGTTAAGTCCAAGTCCTATGCTCTGTATTAGCTGGGTGATAACTGTCTGAGGCTAGTGAACATAGACCACAGTACCTATGGCAGGAGTTCCTCATCAGGTGGGGATGGAAGTTGGGGTACTTGTTGAAATGCAGGATCCTGGGCCTTCCTCCAGAGATTCTGATTTTAGAAGGATGGTGCCCAGAAATCTGCATTTTTAGCGAGCACTTGATGTGAGTCTGATGTAGGTTATCCATGGGAACACGCTTTAAGAAACATTGGTAAAAATCATGAAATTCACCCAATCAAATCCTAGACCTGAATATATGCAGTCGTGAGCTCTACTGTGGTAATTTCCTATATCTGTTTAAAAAAAAAATCATTTAACTATGAATTATCTCAACTTTTTTTGTGTTTTTTTTTAAACCAAAGGAGAGTAAGACCTTAATAACCTGTGTTCCAACACAGATGGAAAGAGGGCAGAATTACTTTATTTATGTAGAAGCAGGACACTTTCAAAGGAACAGAACCATAGAATTTGTATGACATAAATTGAGCATTAGCCAAGTGCATATACATCAGTGATAGGAGGAAAATCTCTTGCTTATGTAAGAGGTATGAACACTATGGAAAGAGGGCAGAATTACTTTATTTATGTAGAAGCAGGACACTTTCAAAGGAACAGAACCATAGAATTTGTATGACATAAATTGAGCATTAGCCAAGTGCATATACATCAGTGATAGGAGGAAAATCTCTTGCTTATGTAAGAGGTATGAACACTATCTTTTCTCTGAACTGATCTCAGCATACAATCATTCATAGCTTGATTAGGGAATGCTAATCTCCCCTGGTTATCAAGATAAATGACTTTTCTGATTATTCTGTTTTCTTTCCAATCCTTTCTCAGATCTACATCATTAATGCTCTGCTTGTGACTTTTCAATGCAGCACTTATTTTAGTAGCACACTTAACCCCATTAGAGGTTAAAATTTAAATAAACCTTGTTTCAAGCAAAATTTCTCCAAGCTGTTAGAAACACCTTAATATTTATCTATGTCTAATATCAAGGACGTTATCTCCTTGATATTAGACAATAATATGGGCAAGATACATAAATGTAGGCAATAGTTTTTAGCCCAATTGCTCTTCCATGAATTACTGTGACCAATTTAATAATAGAAGAAATCTATATAAAGAACTTCCTAACAAATATATAGATTAAACTTAATATATCACCATCATCATTAGAAGGAAAGGGTATGGATTACGGGTCAGACTATCTCAGAAAATATGCCAGTCTCCCTTAAAATAATAAAAAATATATCTCTTTTCCAACTCATCTAAGAATACCCTCCCATTCTTTCCCTTAAATTATATCTTTATTATGTAAGCTCTTTATTATCCTTTAATACTTTTAATGCTAAAAACTCACAATTCTGTTTGTGATCTGTAGCCTTAAATCATCCAAAGGACCCCAGGTCATGCACACCAAGGAGTTCCATCCCACTGTTTTGTCCAAATGAAAGAGAACCTCCTCCCAGCATTTTAGAACCTGGAGCTGGCATGCCAAGTTAAATGCAAATGGTCCCTCAAACTCAGATTTGTTGTGAGAACCATTTTTAAGTAGACTACGCTTCCTGCAGACCAACATGCAAATGGTGCTCGAGGTAAACGTAAGAATCACAGAAGCAACGAAAAGACACCAGCCGTACCTATTTTCGCAGCCTCCACCTTCAGGTTGAAATCCCAGGTCCTTGGCAATTTTAGGGACATTTTGCTTCCAGTTTAGGTGAGTAGCTAGTGAAGCGGTGAGTCTGTCACAGTTTGCGTCCTTCTTGCCTTTTTGCTCTTTCCCTCTGTTTTTGTGTCTGTTTTTGTTCCTCCTTATGATTGCTTCACAGGCAATCTTAGGCTTGAGGTTGATTTGCCAACATTTCTCCTCGTTTCTCTTAGATGAAAGGTCCATCCATCTGTCACTTAAGGATGGCACCCAAACTCCCCCAGCCTGCACCCTTAGGCCCACAGTGGCTGGCACCCTGCTTTTCTAGCTTTCAGTTTTACCAGAAATGTCCCAGTTGACACTTCCCTCTGCGTCATGGGAAGCAAAGCTCCTTTTCGAAAGAATCTCAGGCCTCACTGAGTTGAGGTCGTGATAAACAACTGCTGCCTCTTGGGGTTTTTTTTTTAACTGTCTGCTTCCTTGCATTGGAGGAAGTGGGTGGCTCTTCAGTGAGTGAGGATGATACATTATGAGCACTCTGTTTTGAGAAAATAGTTTTTGGAAATGCTTGAAAAACCAGAATGGGTGCTTCTGTTATAAAAGGCTATAGTTTTAATTAAAAGAAAATGTCCAGACTCCCATCATACACCTCAACTCTAAGCTCTCCTCTTCCTCACCTAATGGATCAAGCATCTAAAAATGGTCAGAAAAACAACCAGCATTCCCCCAACGTTATCTTCTTTTACATTCTTCCTGCTGTAAAGACCATGTCCCAAGCTCTCCAGCTGCCCAGGATGAAGTTTGCAAGTGATCTCAGCCTGATGTAGGGAGGGTTTTGATGTATTTGTTTTAATGAATCAACTTAAGCTAGGTAGACCCACTCACATACAGTAAGCATTCTTTGGCGTTGCACACAGGGCATGGGCTTTAGAATCAGAGTGTGTGGGCTGTATACAGGGTGTGGGCTTCCATTTGCTAGCTCTTCGACTTTTAACAAGCAACTGAATCTTTCGAGGCCTTAATGTCCTCATCAGTAAAATGGGGTTGATAATAACCACAACTCAAAGGGTTTTTGCTACATAATCTAGTGCAGAGCTTGACACAGAGTGGTTGCACCACAAACATTAATTCAACCTTTATTCTATTCTATTTAGTTCAGCCCCGTGACAAGTTTTCATATGTTTAACTGAATCAGCCTAACCTAGTGATTAAGTATTTAGGCCCTGGAAACAGATCACTGGTAGTCAAATCCTGGCTTTCTTGCTGTGAGACTATGGACAAGTTTCATGACCACTTTGTGCTTCAATTCTTATCTGTAGGTGAGGTAAATAATAGCACTTACTTCATAGGCTGTTGTGAGACTTTATTAGAAAAGCCAGTACAAATTGCTCAGAACAGCCACTGCTAGACAGCATCTGAGCTGCACACCTTGCTCCGTTTATTCTCCAACTCTCCTAGATGGCTCTGCCATACTTTCTTCCTCACCTCCCACTTGTTTACTCTTGCTGGTGACCTTGGCTTCCTGTTTCATTGAGAAAATTGATGTAACTGGGAAAGAATGTCCCCAAGCTTCCCTCACTCTACCTGCTCACCTAGCTGCATGCGAGCTGTACTCCTGACCTTCTTCTTGGTACAGTGGGTCAACTGGCTGTTACCACTCTCCCATCCCTATTGCATCATCAATTTTTTCTCTCTCTTGGATCCTTCCTGTCAGTGTTCAAACTTATTACTTTTTTATTCCATATAAAATCTCTGTGGATGCCACCTCCCCCTTGGGTTAGCGCCCCATTTCTCTCCTTAGTTTCTGAACCAAGCTTTGGTAAGAATTGTCTAACTTACAAATATCTCTCCTCTTGTTCTCTCCTGAATCCCTTAGTTGATGTTTTTGCCCCTATGACTCTTCACAAAATATATTCTTATCAAGGATACCGACGACTTCCCTGTCACTAAACTCACAGGTGAGTGCTCCATCCTCATTTCGCCGGCCCATCCGCAGTGTCGGGCACACGTGATAGCTCTATCCAACTCTGAGCCCTCTGTCCATGGGGCTCCCGCGGCCCATGATTGGCCCTGGCTGTCTGCCTGCCTTTCTGGCTGTTCCATGTCTGTTTTCTTGCTAATTCCTTCTCATCTCTCTGATCTCTAAATATTGGAGAAAACTAAGACTCAGCTGGACTCCTTTTCCATCCACACTCACACCTTGGTGAGCTCTTCTGTCTCAAGGCTTTAAATGCCACATAACTGCAGATGATTCCAAGGTATATTTCCAGCGCAGACCCCCTGAACTCCAAATCTCAAGGATCTCTGCTTAGATCTATAGCAGCCATCTTAAATGTGTCCAAACTGTATATCCAGAGAAAGAGGCTGAAGGAACAGTGGCAACCTGGGGTGTACTCCCCTCTTTAGGAATGGAGGGAGCCTAAGCTGGAAGACCCTAGCAAGGACATTTAAGGCCTCTGCACACATCCTGTCTGCTCGCATTCCATTGGCCAACACAGGTCACATGGCCAAGCCCAAAGTCAGTGAGGCCAGACGTACACCCAGCCGTCAGTGGGAGTGGGAGGGACAAGGGCCAGAGTGTTTGCTGATCGAGACTCCAATCCACCAAACCCACCCGGTTTACCCAACTACCCAGCTCCAGCCCCCCCAGGGAGCTGGATTCCACTGAACTTGACTCAGCCACTTGGAGACTTCGTGCTACTGCCTGCCTGACCCAAACACCCACCGCTGCTCTTTTTCATATCCTGACTTCATGCAGTGGGTGTGACAGGGGTAGCCATCTGGCCCTGGCCCAGCAGCATCTCCACGGGGAAATTCGACACCCATCGAAAATTTCAGTCCTGGGACCTTTAAACTCAGGAACTTTGAAAACATTTTGAATGTGGCATTAAGAAACACGCAGGGAACTTAAGGGTAGGTTCCTGTCAGTCTTGGAAAAGCTCGTGACCCATGGGGGAAGTTGGTCGTGCATATGTGGAAAGGCAGTCAGATGAAAAGCACACTCCCCACAAGAGCCCAACACAGCAGCCTTCCCTCACCACAGAGCTCTTTCTCGGGCAGTCAGCTGGGTACTGCTGCTCCCTCTCTCTGATCTTCATAAAACGAAGAGCCAGATGCCTTGCCTGGTCCCAAAGTTTGAATTAGCATCTGTAGCAGTGCAAGTAAACATTCATCCATCTATTGGCCTGTTGAATGCTGAGTGGTTTTATTAAGGACCAAATTTTTGCTGGACATCGGAGGAATGTTTATAAACAAGCAGACCTGGTTTCTGCTTCCTCAGTCACCGCCCTGCCACTGGCTGTTGCCCCTTACAGCCTGTTGGGGGAGAAGAACAATTAAGTAAACAAATACAGTGTGAGAAGAGCTGTGTTGGGGAAAGTGTAGGGAGCTATGGGGGTGCATATGGGAGGGGTCTAACTGGACTTGGGAAGTAAAGGAAGGCTTCCTGGAAGAAGTCTTTTAAAGTACAGCTTGAGGAATGAGTTAGGGAGGCAAGAGAGTTGGAAAAAGGATTCCAGACCAAACAATTGAATGAGGCACAGCAGCAAGAAAGCTCTTCGGGTCGCTCCTAAGAAAGATGAAAGGGATGGGGTTGAGGAGAGACGAAGCTGGAGAGATAGGCAGGGCTGAGCGGGGCTGTGTCACACAGGGCAGGTAAGCATTGGCAAAGAGTTCTGACTTTACCCTGGGGAAAGTGGAGGTCACTGGGGAGATTTCAGCAGGGTAGGGGTGAGGAGGCTGTGGCAGATATCTAAGAGAGAGGAAGAGTGAGGGAGAGAGGTTGGCAGCATGGAAAGAAGGGAAAACAACACAGGAGTCGTGTGAGAATTATTATGGCAGAAAAAAGAGACAACCACGACTCTGGCTCATCACTGGAAGGGTATAAGTTCCAATCACAGAGATGGGGCACACACAAAAACAGTGAGGATTGGTAATGAGGGACAAGGAGGAAATGGTGGGCTTAGTTTAGCGCATGTTGATTTAGGGACCCAAGGGGCACTTGAGTGTGGATCTTCTGTACTCAAGGCTCATGTGAACCGACAGCTCAGACTCACTCATTCATTCATTCATTCACTCGTTTACTCTATAAACATTTATACAGGCCTGCGTTGGATGCTGAGTAAACAAGCATGATTAAGAACCTGGCCAAATCCTCAAATGACTCATGAGAGAGAAGTGTAAACATAACAGCAGTACCGGGAAAAATAGTGCACTCCTGGGGTAAAGTGAGAGCAGGAACTGGTTAGCTCTGCTTGGGCGGCTTCCTAGGAAAGGTGACCCATGAGAGGGAATAGTCAGGAAGCCAGGTGAGGGAGTGAGAGGAGAATGCTCCAGGCAAATGAAATGGCAGATCGCTGTTAAAACACAAATATGGCCCCCATTGAGGGAAGTATCAGAAAAGATATATGGCCCCCAAAGAAGCCCCATGCCCAGTAATAGATGTTGCAGGCACTGCTGGGGCCAGGGTCTGATGCACTTGCTGGAAGGTTGGACTCTAACCTGAGGAGAACTTTTTTTTTTTGAGATAGAGTCTCACTCTGTCACCCAGGCTGGAGTTCAGTGGCACTCTCATGGCTCACTGCAGCCTCAACCTCCTGGGTTTATGCGACCCTCTCACCTTGGCCTCTGGAACAGGTGGGACTACAAGCAACCACTACCACGACTGGCTAATTTTTTAGAAAATTGTTTTGTAGAGATGGGAGTCTCACTATGTTGCCCAGACTGGTTTCAAGCTCCTGGCTTCAGGTGATCCTTCTGCCTTGGCCTGCAAAGTGCTGAGATTACAGACATGAGCCACTGTGCCCAGCCTGGAGAACTTTTAAAACATCTTTCATTATTATTTTTACCATTATGAAAGTCTATGCATAGTCACCATACAAGTTTTTTAAAAGCATAAAGAAAATAAAAATTATTGTTACCACTTGATGTGTAGTAAGAACTTTTCCCATTCTTGGTTTCCTACTTCTCTCTCACTTTCTCCTTGTGTACATGTAATGTATGCATGCATGTATTTTAAATTTTCTAAATGGTGCATATGCTGTTTTATAAACTATTATCTTCCCTTGACTAAAAAAAAAACATGAAAAAGTACCTTTCATTAAGCATTTTTCCATAACATCATCAATGGCCTCGTGATTTTTAATTATATGATGAGAGCAAAATTAATTTTGCAAATCCCTGTGTGATCGAGCATTTGGGATGTGTATAAATTTTCATAATATTCTTGTGGCTAAAAATCTGGATAAATCTAGTCTTTTTCCCCCCTCGGGGGAATTTTTAGAGGTGTAAATGCTGGGAAAGAGATTAAGAATATACTAAGATTTGCTATGTGTTCTCCAATTGCCCTCCCAAAAGTTCTACATTTTATGTTTTGATTAACAATATATGGAGGGCCCAATTCCCTCATAGCCTCACTAACAATTGGTGTTATCATTGCTTTTCTTATAAACCATTTTTTATTGAATAAGCAAATAATTTTTTATTAACCAGTGAAACTAAAGTTACTTTTTAAATGTGCTTATTGGTCATTTGTAGGGGTCAGATGTGTCTAAGTGTTGATGTGTCTGAGTGATTTTGCAAGGAATCAGTGCAGGAGGAGTTTCTATATCTTTATTTCTGATTTTTATTCCACTGGCTCCAGGATCTTCTTCAGGAGCTGAAGTTATCTGCCTGTTAGCTGTCTACTTTATCACCTCCTTGTCTTTCATGTCGTCATCTCTATTACTGTCATCTGCATTTCGAGAGAGTTTCTCATGTTTCTTCTTCACCTTACTGCTCGGCTTTTACTGGCTTTATTGATACATAATTCACATACCATGCAATACACCCATCAAAATGTATAATTCAGTGATTTAGTATATTCACAGAGTTGTGCAACTATCACCACAATCAACTGTAGAACATTTTCATCTTCCACAAAAGAATCTCCATATCCATTAGCAGACCCTCTTCATTTTCCCCAGTGCTAGGCAACCACTTTATGTCTCTATAGATTTGTCTATAGACAAAGGTGTCTGTTGTGGACATTTCACATAATGGAATCACATACTGTAATATGTAATCTTTTGTGATAGGCTTTTCTCCCTCTGCATGTTTTGAAGTTTTGTTCATATTGTAGCATGTATCAGAACTTTATCTCTTTGTATGGCCAATAATATTTCATGTATGTATGGTTAGATCACACTTTGTTTACCTGTTCATTAGTTGATGGGCATTTGGATTGTTTCCACCTTTTGGCTATTATGAAAAATGATGCTATAAACATTTGTGCGCAAGTTTTTAAAATCTATTTATTTATTTTTATAAAGATGGAGGTCTCACTATGTTGTCCCCGCTGGTCTCAAACTACTGAGCTCAAGTGATTCTCCTGTCTCAGCCTCTCAAAGTGCCGGAATTACAGGTGTGAGCCACCATGCTTGGCCTTGTGCGCAAGTTTTTGTGTGAACCCATGCTTTCATCTCTCATGGGTATGGACACAGCAGTGGAATTTCTGGGTTATATAGTAACTTTATTTTTAAACTTTTGAGGAACTGCTAAAATGTTTTACAAAGTAGCTGTACCATTTTACATTTCCACCAGAAATGTATGAGGTTTTCATTTTCTTCCACGTATTCCACAACTCTTGTTATCATCAGTCTTTTTTATTTTAGCCATCCTAGTGGA